TGCTGCGGCGACCGATGTTCAAAAACCCATTCAACGAAAAAATAATAGCGAAACCCGGGAAAACTGTCACACTGAACTGTTCTGTGGACGGAAACCCTCCCCCAGACGTGAGCTGGATGCTGCCCAACGGCACGTGGTTTCCCAGCAGCATCAGCACGCCCCGGTTTCTGGCAGGAAGCAACGGGACCCTGACCATCCACAGCCCCAGCAGAGACCAGGCCGGGCGGTACCGCTGCGCCGCCCGGAACCAGGTGGGCTACATCGAAAAGCTGATCATCCTGGAGGTCGCCCAGAGGCCCAACATCCTCACCCACCCCGTGGGGCTGGTGAGGGGCGTCAGCGGGGAGCCGCTGTCCCTGCACTGCCTGGCCGAGGGCAGCCCCAGGCCCAGCACGGCCTGGACGCTGCCGGGGGGCCGCGTGCTGGACCGGCCGCAGGTCAGCGGGAGGTTCGTGCTGCTGGAGAACGGCACCCTGGTGATCCGGGCGGCCGCGGCCCACGACGGGGGCACCTACGTGTGCAGGGCCCGCAACGACGCCGGCGACTCCTCCGTGTCGGTGCCCGTGGCCGTGGCCGCCCGCGCCCCGCGCATCACGGGCAGGCCCCCGGCCGCCCTGCACACCCTGCCCGGGGTGGCCCTGCAGCTCCACTGCTCCGCACTGGGGGTGCCCAAACCCCACATCACCTGGGAGCTCCCCGACCGCTCCACGCTCTCCACGGCCCACCAGGGCCGAGGGAACGGGGGGGAGCTGCTGCTTCACCCCACGGGGACTTTGTTCCTCCAGAACCCCCGACCCTCCGATTCCGGCCCGTACAAGTGCACGGCGAGGAACCCCCTGGGCAGTGACTCTGCAGTGACATATGTCCACGTCATCTGAGTCAGACACGATGGTGAACACGGGCTGCAGATGGACTGAGGTCATCCTTGGAATGAGTTTAATCAAAGGCATCCAGAGGCACCGAGTGCCTGAAAAACATTTACAGTGTTCAGTCTGCAATGACTGGGCAAAAGGAGAGAGGAAAGGGAAAATTAGCTCGAGCATTGCTCCTCTCCATGTTCGAGGGATTTAAATTAAAGCAAACTCTGCCAGCAAACACAGACTATCAAACACAATTTGCTTTCTGGAGATGTACACAGAGAGCTCCTGTCTGGACAGACTTTTTCATATCAGTTCAATACTGCCCACCTGGCATGACTGTCATAAGCACAGATCATAGAGAGCAAGAACATCTGGGAACTAAAGAGCAGGTTTATTTGGATGCAGATTACCTTCTTAATGTGTTTTAATATTTAGTATATTTTTTAAATAAATATTTCATGGTGAAACAAGTAGTGAAATTGAAATATTTTTAATAGGATAGCTCTGCTTGCCACAGTCTCTTCTGCAGAGCTGTGGTATGACACAGGCCAGCTTTGGACTCAGTTTGGAACAAGAGAGGGAGCTCTGCTCAGCACTGTTAAGCCAATGCACACAGACTGGGTGTAGAACCACTGAAGCTTAGCATCATTTTCTCATTGCCACAAAAGCATTTTTTTTAAAGTTTCTCACTAGAAAACAATTGTTTGAATTTGCGACTCAATTTAGATTTGTGATTCCTCAGTTCAGCAGCCACATAGGCCTAAAGAGGAACTTCTGTACCTGATGGGAAAACCCCTTTGTGATGGTAGGAAATGGTTACCTGCCCATTTCACACTGACCAGTCACAGAGTGGACTGCTCAAATCAATTTTTAAAATATTTAAGCCTGCAACTAAGGTTCAGAGTTTCTTATTTTCTTCCTAAGAAATACATTAATGCAGGACAGAGGGCTCAAAATACGCACACAAATTCCCCTCTTAAATTTGGGAATCTATGTGTGGTCAAGGCACAAGGGGTTCAGTGAATCCATCCCTGACATCAGCCACACACAGCCTGTATTCCCTCGTTCCCTCCTTCCACAGCACTGATGGATTGGTGGCCACAGAGGGGTTGGATGACATGAATCTCAACAGTTAATCTCTGTAACAGCTTAAGCTACTAAAAAGAACAGTAAATATCCTTTAAAAAAATGAGCAGAAGTAACTTTTACATGAATGAGACTTGACTGTTGTAAAAGCCAATGAAAATCTACAGATTTCTGTGTAGTGAGTTATTCTTACATTACATATATATGATGTATACAAGATACAGATATAGATATACTGTGCATTATCAGCTGGCTGTGCTGCCCCAGGCCCTCTGAAGCGTGTGAGGTGCAGCCTTCCCCCTCCCCACACAACACCTGACTGTGACACCATCTACAGCCTCCTTGTGTGGTCAGTGAAGCAAACTGAGTTAGTGAAAAATAGGGAAAAAATATTCCCAGAGTATTTTAAATGCCCTTCAAGTTCCACTTTCAAAATGAATGCATTAAAAAAACCCAATCATATGGACTAGCTCCTAGATGAGAACACTGCTGCTTCAGGAGGGTTATTAACATTACATGGGGGCTTTTAATATAAACTTTAAGAAGTTCTGATACAAGCAATAAACCCACTTCAGCACCTTCTTGCCACAATAAGAGCAAGAGGAATTGGTACTTTAAACAAAGAACTTTATAAAGTGCATGTGAAAATCACAGTCAAATAAACACCATTTGAATCAATGCTTGTTCTACCAACAAAGAAAGAGGTGAACATTTCAATGAACAAATTAACTTCTATACCAAAATCTGAAGTGCCTTTCAGTTCAGTAGTTTGGTCCAGTGCAGTATTTTTTTTTTTT